CTCCAGGTATAGTGGTGCATGGCTGTAATCCCTGTAACTCCAGAGGCTGAGGCAGGAAGATTATAAGTTTGAGGCCAGTCTCAGCAACTTAATGAGACCCTATCATACTAAGGGCTAATAATGTGGCTCAGGATAGAGCACCCTGGGTTCAATCCCCAGAATTGGTGGGAAAAAACGTTTCTTTACACTCCTATATTAATCCTCTTGGCTCCAGGCAACCCCTGATCTGCTTTCTGTTACTAGTTTTGCCATTGTTAGAATTTCACATAGAGTCATATCATGAGTAGTCTTTTGTCTCTGGTTCTTTTCACTTAACATAATGCTCCTGTGGAGCAATAGTTTATTCATTCTTATCACCTAGTACTAGCACTCCACTGTATGGATACAACAAAATTTTTCTATTCATCTATTGATGCATATTTGGGCTATTTTTAAAGTGATTTTTTATCATGGTAAAATATATAACATTAAAATTTGTCATTTTAAGTGACACAATTTAATTACCTTTGCAATGTTTTTCAACATCATTATTAGCTATTTCCAAAACTTTTTTTTAACCCAACAATAAACTGCTAAATTCTAACTATTAAAAAGTAATTCACACTCCTTCTCCCCAGACCCTGGTTACCTCTAATCTACTTTTGTCTTTATGAATTTGATAATTTTGGATATTTCATATATATATGTAGAGTCATATATTATGTTTCTTGTAGGCTTATTTCATTCAGCATGTTTTCAAGTTCCATACAGGTTGCAGCATGGATTCAGAACTTTCTTTTCCTGAATGAATGATATTCAATAGTATGAACGTACCACATCTTATTTCTCCATTTGTCCATCTGTTGATGGACATGTGGGTTGTCTGCATATTTTTGATTTTTAGTTACTATGCATAAAGCTGATGTGGACATTCAAGTACTGTTGTTTATATGGACATGTTCTTTCATTTCTCTTGAGAGCTTCTTTGGAGGCTGTAGCAGGGGAGTGCAGCTACTCATATACCTTTGACCAAAGAATGGTTCTTCGAGAAGGATGCACATGGAGTGGTGAGGGAGGAAGGGGACACCGCCCAGCCAGCTAGAATCAGCAGAATCAACCTGGCAGTGAATGGGGTGATAGATGTAGCAGCCAGATCACCCTCACATCCTCTCTTGGGTAAACATGAAGAAGTAGAATTACTGGCTTATTCCATAAGTAAGCGTTTAACTTTATAAGAAACTGTCAAGCTATTTTCCAAAGTGATATATTGGCATTTTTATCAGCAATGTATGAGAATTCTAGTTTTTCACTCCCTCACTGACATTTGTGGAGCCAAACTTTTTAATTGTAACAATTCCAGTGGTTGCATCGTAGTTGTGTGTGTGTGTGTGTGTGTATGTGTGTGTGTGTGTTTGAGATGGGGGCCTCAAACTCCTGGGTTCAAGCAATCTCCTGTTTCATTTTCCCAAGTAGCTGGGACTACAGGTACCTGCCACCACACCCAGCTTTTCCTTTCCTTTCTTTCTTTCTTCTTTTTTTTGGTGGGTGGGGTGGGGTGGGGGGAAGAGATGAGAGGAAGGTACCCAGGATTGAACCCAGGGACGCTTAACCACTGAGCCACATCCCTTATCTAAATATCTTAGATACAGGATTTTTTTGTTTGTTTATATATTGATCCAGCACCATTTGTTGAAGATACTATCCTTTTCCCACTGTTTTATCATCCTTTCAAAAAATCGTTTATAATATCGGAGGTCTATTTCTGAACTCTTTAGTCTGTTCCAGTAATCTATATACCTTTCTTTATGTCATGAATTTTAATTATTATAGCTTTATAATAAGTCTTTTTTTTCCTAACAGTTAACCAAAACCATCTTAAGTTTTTGGTTTTCAAAAAATGAACTCCTCCCAGATGTAGTGATGCACACCTATAATCCTAGTGGCTTGGCAAGCTGAGGCAGAAGGATTGCAAATTGGAGGCCAGCCTCAGCAATTTAGTGAGGTCCTAAGCAACTTAGTGAGACCCTGTCCTAAAATGAAAAATAAAAAGAGCTTTCGATGTAGCTCAGTGGCAAAGCACCCTTGGGTCAGTCCCCATTCCAACAAACACACACTCCTTTTTCTTTTCCCAAGGCAATCATGATTTAATTTTAAAAAGCGGTCATACATCCTAAAAGTATATCCCTTTAATGGGAAACTTAGCTTTAGAGAAACTAAAATTTAAAAGATTTAAAAAATTTTTTAAATTCTGTTTTGTTGCCATTCTAAAACAAAATAAAATCTAACATAAGTCAAGAAAATGTGTTTGTTACTTCAGGTCCTTTTCCTCCAGGAACCAGCATTATTACATTTAGCAAAATCTGATCTGGTTTAGTTATCCTTCTTCCTTCTGGTGTGATTTCAAACTCAGTGATATTTTCCAGCACCATATTGACAAAGTCATCAAATCTAAGAACATAACAACAATTTCTTATCATTCTTCATTACAATGTTAATTTCTGATCCTATAATACCCTTGTCTACAAGCTCTAGGGGAAGCCACTGTCACAGGCTAGTAATAGTATTAACTGGCTTTGCTAAGCCACAATTGGCCAGTGCCATATTAAGTCTTGAAATCACATGTTAAGTCTTGAAATCACATGGTATGAGTTCTCCAAATTTGTTCTTTTTCAAAATTATATCAGTTAACCTAAGTCCTTTGTATTGTTATCTAATTTGGGTTTAGCTTGTCGATTTTTTTCGTTAGTTTTTAAAAATATCTTTTGTTTTATCTATTTATTTATTTATTTTATGTGGTGCTGAGGATCAAATCCAATGCCTTACACATTCAAGGCAAGTGCTCAGCCACTGAGCTACAAACCCAGTTATAGCTTGTCAATTTCTATAACAAAATTCTACTAGGAGTTTGCCTGTTTGAATCTAAGCATCAATTTAGTGAAAATTAACTTGTCAATGATACTGAGTCTTTGGATCCATGAACGTGGTATGTTTCTCCATTTATTTAGGTATTCCTTAATTTTTCTTGGCAATTCTGAGTATATGTATCTTGCAGATATTTTGTTAAACTTATAAAGTACTTATGTTTAATGCTATTATTATTATATCTTTTAAATTTCAATATGTCCTTGCTTGTATATAGAAATACAATAGAATATTAATCTTTTATTTTATGACCTTGATAAATTCCCCATTAGTTCTAGGAACTAGTTTTTGGTAGCTTGCTTGGGATTTTTCTGTATGTGTGATCATATTATTTGTGAATAATGGCAATGCTATTTCTTCCTTTCCTATTGGTGTATATTTTTTAAATATTTATTTTTTAGTTTTAAAATTGACATGATATCTTTATTTTACATTTATGTGGTGCTGAGGATTGAACCCAGTGCCTCATTATGGTAGGCGAGCACTCTACCACTGAGCTACAAACCCAGCCCCATCCTATTGGTACAGATTTTGCTTCTATTATTTTCTTATTGTACTAGATTGGATTTCTTCTATAATATTGAACAAAAGTGCTAAGACAAGCTGGGTGTGGTGGCACATGCCTGTAATCCTAGCAACTTGGGAGTCTAAGAGGGATTATAAATATGATAAAAAATTTTTTAAAAGGCTGGGGATGTGGCCTAGTGGTAAAATGCCTCTGGGTTCAATCCACAGTACAAAAAAAAAAAAAGTGCTATGACAAGGTATAGTGACACTTTTAAAAATGCATTTTTCTTTATCAAGTAGAAATAATCACTGGGTGTGATACAGGCAAAGCAAACAAAATATGATGGAACGTGGAATGTGTGTATGTGTGTAAGTAGGAGTTGGCAGAAAATGGAGCAATTAAATCCTATTTATTAGGGAAGAATTATAAAGGAAAGAGTGTTTAAGGAAATTTCTCATCTCTCCTTGACTGACCCTGGCACTCTATTTTCTTCGCCTCACCACATTCTCTGAGGGTTCCTCTACCTTGTGCTCCATTGTGATTCTCTTTCCATCAGTTCCAGGATGCTGTCCCCTTCCTGCACGATGGCATGCTCGAGGACCTGTTCCCGCATCCTGGGGCTAAGCCTCGGGACTGCTGCCCTGTTTGCTGCTGGGGCCAACGTGGCACTCCTCTTTCCTAATTGGGATGTGACCTATCTGCTGAGGGGTCTCATTGGCAGGCATGCCATGCTGGGCTCTGGACTTTGGGGAGGAGGTCTCATGGTAAGTGTGTGTGGTTCCCTGAGTGTGAATTCCCCAAACATCCCCCAGGGGTGGAATTGGAAGGTGGTGGTGATGACAAACACAGGAACACAAGTCAGTGAGATAACATATAGTCAAAGCTTTTATTAGGGCTTCTTTTTTTTTTTTTTTTTTTCCAATTAGGGCTTCTCTTAAGAGAAGGGAGACAGCCCCTACAGTAGAGCGTCAGGCTGGCCTCAGAACAAAGGGAAAGAGTTTTATTCATGTGAAAGGGCTGTTTGCAAGGGGGGAGAGAAGGTTTAGGAATCTTCATTGTCTTTAAGTACATTTCAAAGGTGCATTTTTATTTTCCTATGTGGGCACTATGATTCTGAGGATGCCACATTCTGTATCCCATTCTATCTTGTGATAAGGATGAACTGCAATAGCTGTTCAGAGAACACATTGGTGGAAAATAGAAGAGAACACAAATCATGGCCAGTTACAAGTTAAGGGCCCTGGGAATTTGTTCTGGTGGCTTCACAACAGTTTTTATCCTTTATGTCATTTGTCCTTGGGGAGTCATGGCAAGAACTTCCTGGCCCTAATGATGTACTTGGTCTCTGAAGCTGATAAGATTGTTTTTTGTTGTTGTTGCTGTTGTTATTGTTGTTTTGTTTTTTGGTGGGGGATAAATGTGGGAGAGCAGAGGGAAAAACTTGTACTATCTTTTAATGGCTGTCAGGCCATGAGTTAAGGCCCAGGTGTTTGTTAGCCCTTTTTCCCTATGTGTGGTCTCTGTCTTAGAGGGGGAGGAATGTTTTGATTCTTGGGAAAAAAAAGTACAACAATCTTGTTTCAAAAAGCTGGTCTTGGGGCCCATAGACACTACAAGGGATACGGGGACTTGTTAAGGGTTGCTGGATTTTAATTTGGATCCAGGCAAGCTGTTGTGAACATTAGTATTCACATAACATAAGGTCAGAACAGTCATCTCAAACTGGGTCTGGACAATCAGCCAATAGGACAATTGAGTTGTTTTGAAGTGGCCAGCCCTCAATTGTGTGGTCAATTTCAATGGCTGTAGGCAGCAGCTAGAAGCAGAGATGTAAATTACCCAGTCTCTTCTTAACATTCTTTTCCTCTCTCCAGGTACTCACTGCAGCTACCCTCATCTCTGTGATGGGATGGAGATATTGCTGTTTCAGTAAAAGTGTACCCTGTCTAAGTGTAAGCACTGGATTTCATTCTTCTGATACCTGGAATGTTCCCATATTCTCTTATTCTCTCAGAGTAGTCAAGGGGCAATTTCAGTCTTGAAGCTTTAAATCAGGTCCTTCATAATTCTAAGCTCTTTGGGTACAGTTGTCTGACCCTTCCAGCCCCAGGTCCTCATCTGTAAAATTGAGTCAATCAAGTCAAGGAAGTAAGTGCTTAATGAACCACAAATGTAGGTTGCAATGTGAGAAACTGTAATTTTCTTTAGCCACATTGTAATCATGTGTCTCTGACAGAAAGTTTCCTGGCTATCTTAAATAATATTTTCTTAGAGGGATGGGGATGTAGCTTAGTGGTAGAACACTTGAGTGCTACAGTGGTAGGTGTACATCTATTCATCTAACTCTGTGTTATTTTCTTAGAACTGGAAGGTTGTCTAGAGATTATCAAATCACTAGATTCTAATACAGAGGCCTATAATCTTGCACCCTGCTCTTGATACCTGCAGTCTACATATTGGGATCCCACTGATTCAGTTATGTTAAAGAAATAAATATATATAAAGACCTAGGCATTTTATTCACCATCTGTTCTCAGTCATATCTGGCTTTGCGATAGGCAAGTAGTTCTTAACCTTGAATTTACATCAAAATTCTCTGCTGGGGACCTGGGGATGTAGCTCAGTGGTAGAGTGCTTGCCTGGCATGTAGGAGGCCCTTGCTTCCATCCCCAGCACTGGGGAAAAAAAAAAAAGAAAAAGAAAAACCTTCTGCTGGGCCTGTTAAAACACAGACTACTGAACCCCCATCCCCAGATTTTGATTGCAAACAAATTCAGAGACCACACTTTGAGAAAACTTGCCCTCTGTTTACATCAGACTAATTCATCCTGAGTTTGTAAGTACTGTTATGAAAAGCTCAGTCCTTGTCTCTGATGCCAATCCAATAATAAGGACATGGTTTTGAGAAAAAGGAAAAAGTTTTATTGCTCTTTTAGCACAGGAGAAACACAGGGAACTCCTGTCCAGAGGCTGTGATTCTGCCCATCAGCAGGAATTTGGGGGTGTGTGTGGCTTTTGAAGAGGTGATTCCAAGGCCACAATCCACATGTTCTCTGTTGGAGTTGTAATTCACTTGTTAATTTGGGAGGTAGTCATTTCTGAGATCTGCTGATGACATTCCCAAAGTCTGGATTACTTATATTCCTATGATAGGAGAGGGCTCAAGGACAAATAACTCTGTCTAGGATGGGGAAGAAATATAATCCTGTTTCCCCTGAGATGAGAAAGGAAGAGAGATTAGGGAGAAGAAGTGAGAGAGGAAGAGAAAAAAAACATGTTTGCTTTAAAAATAAGTTGCAGTGGCAGATCAGCATAATGTGGACCACTGTTTTATTCAAAGCATAAAGTAGACCACTGTTACAAGAAGTGGGCATGCAATGACCAGTCTGCCCCTTTAACCCAGAGGCCAAATGACTATAGTCTGAGTACAAAATGTTCAGTATTGAGAACTGAAACCAGGGGCTCTCTATCATTGAGCTATATCCTTAGCCTTTTATTTTTAAATTTTGAGACAGGTTCTCACTAATTTGCTGAGGTTAACCTGAAACTTTCAATCCTCCTGCCCTCAGCTTCCTGAGTTGCTGGGATTTTAGGCAGGTGCCTCCATACCCAGTTCTGTGTACAAAGGTTTTTATGCCAATACCAAAGGCTCCAAATAGCCAGTGGAGTCAGGGAGACCCAAATCCAAGTGACTACGTTTTTTTTGGGGGGGGGCCTTTCTCCCCTCTCTCTTCCTAGCTCTACCCAGGGACCCCTCACCATCCACTTCATCTTGGTCATGCTTCTAAAGAGGTGTCATGGGTAGAATTATCCCCCTGTGATAGGATGGGAGAAAGACCAAACACCAGATAAGTTAGACTTGTCCAGTTCACCAGTTCACCCCTAAAACCACCTAACCATGTTGCTGTGTCGACTCTATTTGCTCCCTCCTTCTACAGTTGCTCACTGCTCTGTTTTCAAGTGGCCTGGCTTTGCTTGGAGCCTTGATTTGCTTTATCACTTCTGGAGTAGCACTGAAAGATGGTCCTTTTTGCATGTTTGACGTCTCATTCTTCAATCAGACACAAGCTTGGAAATATGGCTACCCATTCAAAGACATGCATAACAGGTAAATAGAGTTGTGGATTTGAAGTCTTTTCAGAGAGAGAGAGAGACAGAGGGAGGGTTGGTTGGGGAGAGGGGGGGGAGAATAACACAGAGATGGAATGGACTATGTTACAAACGCAGTTTTGATTGGGCATGGTGGTGCATGCCTGTAATCACAGCAGCTTGAGAGGCTGAGGCAGGAGAATCACAAGTTAAAAGCTAGCCTCAGAAATTTAGCAGGGCCCTAAGCAACTCAACAAGAACTTGTCTTTAAATAAAATATAAAAAATGGCTGGAATGTGGCTCAGTGACTAAGTACCCCTTGGTTCAATCCCTGGTAAACAAACAAACAAAACCTCATTTTGTTCACACATTCTAGCATCTCCTTACTCTGATACTCAGAAATTTAAGTGCAGTAGTAAAAGTCACCTTAGCAAATCCAATCCTGTGACCTGAGCCAGGCGAGGTCTTAGATTTCTATTGGGATTGCTTTTTTAGATATACTTATTCCCCTACTCCTGACCCTTTATTTTTATTTTTTGGTGTAGGAATTATTTATATGACCATTCTCTCTGGAACTCTGTCTGTCGGGAGCCCTCTAAAGCTGTTGTTTGGCACGTGTCCTTCTTCTCCACACTTCTGTGCATCAGTCTCTTCCAGCTTCTCCTGGTGGTCATTCATTTCATCAACAGCTTCCTTGGCCTGTTTTGCAGCCTGTGTGAGAAGTGACAGGTAACACTCTTTCATGCACTGGTGATTTTATCATAAGCTGCCCTGACCCCTTTCTGAAAGTAGTAGGTATGAATTATAAACAAACTTCCTTCTTAAGTATTCCTGTAATAATGATATCAACAATAATCCTTGCATATAGGAAGAATGATATAATGCATTTAAAATCCCATAGTATACTTTAAGATGATACAGTAAAGGAAGAAATAACTAAGTCATTACTGTTGGATAGAAACATATAATGTATGTTGTGATGTTATATTGACCATAAAATGTCCTCCAGCATGATATAATTTCAGCCTCTCAACAACCCCATAAAATTTGGTCACATGTTTCAGATAGAGAAGTCAAGGCTCCCAGAGAATAACAAACTTATTTACCCCAAAGCACACAAGTTAGGTTAAGGTGCAGTCAGCACCTGACCTTTTATCTTCTAAACTCTAGTTCATCAGTTGTTTTTGACTGAATTATTTCCCCCAAATTCCTAAGTTGAAGTCTTTATCCCCAAAGTGACTACATTGGAGATGGGCTTTTAACATGATAATTAAGGTTAAATGATCATAAAAGTAGAACCCTAGCAGGGAGTGGTGGCACCTACCTGTAATCCCAGCTGCTTGGCTCAGGAGGCTGAGGCAGGAGAATCTTGAGTTCAAAGCCAACCTCAGCAAAAAGTGAGGTACTAAGCGACTCAGTGAGATCCTGTCTCCAAATAAAATACAAAAATAGGGCTGGGGATTGGCTCAGTGGTTGAGTGCCCCTGAGTCAAGCCCCAGTACTCACCCCCCCAAAAAAGTGGGACCCTGTTCCAAGAGGACTAGTGTCCTTATAAGAGGAAGAGATCTCTTTCTCTCTCTCTTTGTGTGAACACAAAGAAAAAGGCCATATGAGGGGCTGGGGTTGTGGCTCAGTGGCAGAGTGCTTGCCTCACACATGTGATGCACTGGGTTTGATCCTCAGCGCCACATAAAAATAAATAAACAAAATAAAGATATTGTGTCCATGTATAACTAAAAAAATAATAATAAAGAGAAAAAAGCCATATAGGACAGCAAGAAGGCATTCATCTGCAATCCAGAGAGAGAGGCCTTCATAGAAATCAAATCTTCTATCACCTAGATCTTGAAACTTCTAGGCTTCAGAACTTTAAGAGACATTTCTGTTATTTAAGCCACCCACTCTATGGTGCTGAGGTTATGGCGCTACTAGCAGACTAATACATCAGTCTCCTTTTCATTATAGTGTTGAGTTCTACAGAGAGTATATATTGAGTACCCACTATGTGCTTGGCACTGCCACACATGGTGCAAATCTGATCTAAAGGTAACCAAGATATGGTCCTTGCCCTTGGACCCTGCCCTGCTCCTGAAAGGCTCATGATCAGGTTAGGGAAACAAGTTTATCAATAATTTGAACATTATATGGCAAAGACTACATCAGAGTTCAACTCAGGATGCAAGAGAGATGGTAGGAACTTCGGGGAGAGATCAAGGAAGGCTTTGGGTGCATCTGAGATGATTCTTTCAAGTTGGTCCTGTAAAAAGGGGAGGGAGGATTGCCCCAGGAGAGGGAATGACCTGCTCAGAAGCATGCAGGGGAGACCAAGGCTGGTGTGGTGAGAACTGTGAGATCATAGTTGCTTTTATGAGAAACTAGAAGTCATAGGACCTCCTGCTCTCCCACTTTAGGATTGATCCTGCTCCATTCCCACATTATCCCAGGTCAGTGAAGAGAGAAGGAAGCACCAGAGGCCTCCAGAACACAGTGGTTCCTCTGTTCCCAGGGCTCAGGAGCATGGTCCTGTTATGCAACAGTCAAACTAGCAGAGCTTGTAGGAGTCAGGTCCCTCAAAACACCCTTTCACCCTCTCCTTTCTGGGTGGGGATGGGAGGCCTGCCTTGGATGGTAAAGATGGACAGACAGAATTGTCAAGGACAAAAGGAGGCACTGCTCTTGAGCTGGCAAGAGAGTCCTGAAAACCAGACACCACATCATATCCCATATGACATCCAAGGAGTCCTGCTGTGTTAGTCTCACATTTCTCTGTTGGCTGATTTAGTTTCAGGGTTGTGGCTGGAATGTGCCTGATCCATTGTGTACTAATACCTTCATACAATTAATGGAGATTTTAAAAAAATACCTTTATTTTATTTATTTATATGTGGTGCTAAGGATTGAACCCAGGGCCTCACCGTCCTAGGTGAGCACTTTACTGCTGAGCCACAACCCCAGCCCCAATTAATGGAGATTTTAAAGATGACTAAGGGCTGGTGATGGTGGTAGAGTATGTACTTAGTATGTACAAAGTCCTGGGTTCAATTCTCAGTACTGCAAATATATATATTGAATTTTAGACATATTAAGCACACACACAGAGATGCATGCATCCTCACAGCCACATCAGATTCATAATTCTCAACTTGTCTTAACCCTACTTGGGTGGCTCAGCAGGGCCCCAAGATGAGAGACCTTAGTCATTAACAACACAATTCACAGTGGATGGTTGATTCCTTCTTGCTTGCATCCTTTCAGGAACTTCAGACTGATGTTATTTGTACAACCTGATAGAGCTTCAAAGGACAATGTCTTCAACCTCTGCCTTGGCTGAGCCAATCATCCTCTTCTTCAGTTGTGCATACGCAGGGTGGATCTTCCTATTTCTGGGTGCTGACACTCCCAGAGCTTCTGAGATCAAGATCAAAGATGGGAATTTGGAGGAGGTGGAGCTAATGGATACTTCTGTGATTCTTTTTTTTCTTTTCTTTTTTTCAGTTGTAGATGGACACAATACCTTTATTTTATTTATTTATTTTTATGTGGTGCTGAGGATCAAATCCAGTGTCCCACACATGCTAGGCAAGTACTCTACCACTGAGCTACAACCCCAACACCTACTTCTGTAATTCTGAAGTGCAATCCCACTGTGTGGCCCTGACAGCTCACTTATGTTCTCTTTTCACAGTTCAATTCAGGGGCCTGGAATGGGGTGGGGGTGGGGGAGAGGAGCCTTGGAGAGGAAATGAAGAAATGAGAGGAGTTCTGCATTCATTCTACCATGGGCCAACTGCCCCTCCACACCTGGCTGTTGGCTGTCCTCTATGGGATTCCAGAAGGTCTGCATCCCCTTCCTTGTATACACAACCCAGGACCACCTCATCATTCGAATATGACTGCAGCATCTTTTTTTCCCCCTCTTTCACAAACAAAGCCACATCCTGGCTTGATGTCCAACCAGGGTGTTAGGTAGAGGGGCTGATACAGATCTATTCATCAGGCACTAAGTAAACATTTTAAGAAGAAAATCTGTCTCTTACCTTGCATATGCCTTTATGAATATCATCTTGGAATGGAGAGGATGTTTCCTTGTTCATATTCTTGCTCAGAGAAAGTAGACTAATCTTTGGAATAGGTGTTCTCAGCTCTCTGTCTGGACTCAGGTATTTGGAGATCAAAGGGCATTTCTCATAGACATAATGCCCAGTGATGTGGTTCAAAGAATAAAAAAATAAGACAATTCCATGTAACACATGCTCATGAACTGAATTCTACAAGAAACAACTGGGACAACTGGAGATCCTTCAGTGAGTCTGAAGATTAGATGGCATTAATGTAGTGTAGTTATAGAAAATGACACTTTGTTTTAGTAATAATTAGCTTAGTCCATTGCTCCCGGCAATGGATGAGGCACAGCAAGCTTCCTGGGGAACTACAATCATGGATTAGAGCAGTGTTGACATTGGTCAGCAGAAGGAAGGCTCAATAAACCAGTTCAGATCATGAAGCAAAGAAGTATATATGCACAGGAGATAGCCATAAAAAGCCATCAAACAATTTCAAGCCAAGCTGTGTCACTCTGAGATAGTGTGAAGGGTGGAATGGGAAAGTGAAGTTGGTGAGAGTTTATTGGAATCAGGGAGACCAATTTAAGCAACAATTTCAATAAGGCACTTTGTAAACCAAATCCTGGAATAGTAAAATTAGTTGTCTGTACTGGAATTTGCAAAGACAGTTTTATTTGCCCTACCCTTTTTGCATTGTATAGAAGCAAGTTTTGGAACTTGTTAACATAGTCAAGGTTAAAGGTTACCAAAGGAAGTCTGGATTGATAATGGGCAGAGGCCAAGACCTACAGCATTCTAAAACAGGAACAAAAACTGGTGCTTAAAAGCAAAGAATGAAAAAAAAAATGGTAAGAAATACCTCCTAAAATCTGCTCTTTTCTGACTTTTGCAGTAACATAGGTAAGAAATGCAAGCTGGCTAAGAACTGCAGGCTGGTGATTATGGTTTCGAGTGGTGCTTTGCACTTTTTCTATAAGGGGCAAGATAATATTTTAGGTTTTGAAGGCAATATGGTCTTTGATGCACTATTCAATTCTGCCTTTATGGGACAAAAGTAGCAATAGACAAGATGTAAATGCATTCCAATAAAACTTTATGGGCACTGACGTTTTAAATCCCTATATTTTTCATGACTCTCTACATATATGATTAAAAATCTCTACATATATAATTCCTGTTCTTAGCTCATAAGGAGAACAAAAACAGAAGGAAGGATGGGTTTTGTCCAAAGACTGCGGTTTGAAGACTCTTTTTTTTTTTTTTTGGCACCAGGGATTGAACCCAGGGGTGCTTAACGAGCCACATCTCCAGCCCTTTTTATTTTTCATTTGAAACAGGGTCTCAGTTGCTGAGGCTGGTTTTGAACTCGCCATCCTCCTGCCTCAGCGCCCAGCTCCTGACGACTCTTGGTTCTAATCAGAGCCTGGCTGCTCTCCTAGCTGAGTATCCTTGGTTATGATTCCTAACCTCTGTGAACGTCAGGTTCCGTGTGTATTTCCTAAGATTGGGTCTTTGTTGGTAAACGACTGGGCACGTTGAAGCGCGGGACAGAGACGCTCCGCCAGTTCCTGGCTGCAGCGGGTGCGCAGGCGCGGTGAAGGACCAGCCGCTGGGCTGGAGCTAGCGGCCTGGTCACGTGGGGACCTGGAGCAGCCCTGTTGTCCTGGCGACCGTCCCTCGGCCCCACGCGGCAGCAGCAAGCGATCTGGGCCTGGTAGTGACTTACGCCCGGGCCGAGAATCCCTGATCATGACCACATCCGCCCACCCGTCCCTTTCTCGGTCCTTGGGCGACGGATTGCTTGACACTGAGAAGAACTCAGGGGAGGCGGAGAACACCTACATTCTGAGGCCCATTTTCCAGCAAAGGCGGGTAGCGGATGGGATGTGGCAGGGGCGACCTCGAGAGGGCTGGGTCCGTCTGGGAGCCTAACGGCCGGAAAGGGGCGCGCGGGCCGAGACCCGTGCCTCCAGGGTTGGGAAGGGAGGGGCAGGGTGGGGGCCGGAGAGGACGGGAGGGGCGGGGAGGAGCTGTGGGTCGCGGGGACGCTGCTGTTCCGGCGTTCCAACTCTTCTCCGGCAGCAGGGGACAGCAGAGGACTGGCTGCACCTTTGCAGAGTTAGGTCTCCTGCAAACAGGCTGGCGCAGCCGGAATGGTTGACACCTAGGGGATCCAGGACACACGCAAGGGTAAAGGAGATGGACCGAGAGAGGCAAAACACCAGCGGCTTACGAGGAACGCGGTTCATTGGTGTTTTGAGGGTTACCTTGTGCACAGCTGTGCCAGAATGCACTTAAACTCCTGGCACCCGATCGGTGTACAGAGTCCTTCCTATGTACTGTCCAGATGTTCTTAGACAGTATTAGCTTGCCGGAAGAGGGCAGTCAGCTAAGTCTGCAGGATCCATGGCTAATCACTAATTTCTATCATCTTCACGAGAAAGATATTTTTAAAGAACTTCCCAAGCCCTTTTTCTGTTGTTGGAAACCATATTGCCGAATTTCATTCTTAGCAAATGTAGTGTTGGAAACCAGGAACTTTGGTTACATGTGATTGAAAAAAATTCATGTAGGGGCTGGGTTTGTACCTCAGTGGTAGAGTGCTTGCCCAGCATGTGTGAGGCACTGGATTCGATTCTCAGCACCACATATAAATAAATAAAATAAAGGTCCATTGACAACTAAATTTTTTTTTTCAAAATTATGTAGTAATTTTTTATTGTGTAAAATGGACAGTGTTTTCAGTTATTCCAGTAAAGTATTCTACATGCATAGAATGGCATTAAGAGGGGTTTCTGTTGTAATACAGTGCAGAACAGGATTAACAAAAAATATGTATTATGTAGGAATAATCCTATGAGTTTATGTGTGACATGTCTGAAGAAAACCTTAACATTTTATCAAGAATT